CTTAGGCTTTGTTTGGGACGGCTTTATGTTGCTTCTTAAAGCAGCTTTTCAGTACAAAATTTTTTGTACTAAAACACTACTTTAAGAAGCATAAAGAAAGCCGTCCCAAACAAAACTTTAGTCTCCAGTTTCAGATCTGATGAATCAACTTCATCAGCAAGCTGAGAGTTGTTTCCTGTTTCAGATATGGAGGAAGAGGAATATGAGATGGAAAGCAAGAGTATCATATTATTAACTTTAATGGTCCACTACAAACATTGTTTAATGGTACCTCTCTGATCATGCTTGTGATAGTATTAAGATCCATGATAGATTTGCTGGAATCCAATTCATATGCCAGTTGAAGCTTATCAATATATTGTTGGGGATAATGGGTGGATGCATCAGATTCTATCATATTCATATAATGTTTCATTTGCATTAAACTAAATTAGTATTAGGAATCCAATTTGGTTGATGATTGGTTCAAAAAAGTCAGGTTTAAATGTAAGTCATTCAGGCTTTGTTTGGGACAGCTTTTTTACTGCTTTATGAAACAACTTTTTAGCTAAAAATTTTTGTACTAAAATGTTACTTTATAAAGCATTAAGAAAGCCGTCCCAAACGAAGCCTCAATCTTAGGCTTAGGAATAATGTTCCACCACTATATGACTATTCATTAGAAGAATGTGGCAGAGTTGATTTTTTTTTTTTTGGGGGGCAAGGAGGCTCCAGCCCAACCTATCAAAATTCTCCAACTTATTTCCGATAAGTGCGCTATGGTTTATTATATATGGTCTGTAAAAGCTAACAATAATACATGTAAAAAATACAGCTTATTATGGTCTGTTGGTTGGGAGCTTTGATTATCAACAAAGAGGTCTTGCATTCAGTCTTGCATATGTGATATGTGTGAGTAATTTGCCTTAATTGGCGTACATATCCCAAAAGATATATATATATATGTAAAGTGAAATATATATTTTGATGTTATTTAAACATTATAATATATATTATTTAAATAAATATAAAGATTTATGGTGAGAAATTTAAATATAAAACAATTTTGTTGTATTTATATAAACACCCCTTATTATTTATTTATTTTTTATTTGGTAATGTTGAGTGTGAAAATATAAATATGAATAGATGGGATTGGATACATATAGGACTTTATAGCAACTTCCAAAATCTTTATAAAATAAATTAATTGTCGCCGACATTGCCTATTTGAGTTACTATCTCTGATTTAATGCTCCTAATGTAATACATTAATATTTGATTAGTCGGGACACATGTGGAGTGGGTTTGAATAATAACACACTAAAAAGAATAAAAATATTTGTTTGTATAAACTAGTGGTGTCCCCATTGACTTAGGTTTCGTTTGGGATGGCTTTTTTGTTACTTCTTAAAGCTGCTTTTGAATTTAAAAATTACAAATTTTATACTAGAAACTGCTTTAAGAAACAATAAAAAAGTCGTCACAAAGGAAGCATTAGACTTTTGAATTATTTATTCTCATACATGGTAATGATTTTTACTACACATTAATATCATTTGCTTTTATGTTTTGTGAGAGTCATTGATAATTTTTATGAATCATAAAATTGAGTGAGATATTGTAATAGCTCCAATTCTCAATCATCGAAATATTATTTGTTTTGGACTAACTGCCTCACGATTTTGTCCCTTTGGTGTAAATTCTCAGCAGGTCACCATCCTATAAGTGCTCTAATACTAGCACACTTAACTTTGAAGTTCCTAATAAAATTCTAACTATTCCATCAAAAGGAGCCTCGATATTTAAAAATATACTTTCATTCAACTTAAAAGGGTTTCATAATCCCCCACTTAAGTAACTGTCATTTTTATCAGTTTCCTTAACCCATAATCACACCAACTAGATAGTATTCCTAAAGATAGAGTTTCTGTGTTCCGGCTAGTGTATCATTCTAATATCATTTTGTAACAGTCCAAATTCTCAAACATCAAGATATTATCCATTTTGGCCTAATCGTCACATGGTTTTGCTCTCTTTGTGTAACTTTGCAGAAGGTCACTCATCCCAGAATTATTCCGATAATAAAATTTCAACCATTAAACTAAAAGAAGTCTGAATATTTAAGAATTTAATTTCATTCAACTTAAAGGAATTTCGTAGATACTTCATGAATGAGAAAATAATAATGAAATAACAATTTTGTGTAAATGAGCAGAATATCGATCTCAAGAGAAATAATAATGACTGCATACATAGAAAAGAAATCTTCATGCATCAACGCATAATTTATACTAATTTCTATGATCTTACAATTATACTAATATTAATTGAACATTGATATTGATGATATATGTGCTTCAAAAAGATAAAGAAATATAATATTATGTGATGATGTAAGTCAAAATAAATCTGTCGAATTGATGAAGCTTGCTAATTAAGTTGATTATCTGATGGAAATCGTAATCTATAAATATGCAAGTTGTATAAATAAAATGTTTCATAGCTGATCGAGTAGTTCGCATTAAGACAGTAAAGGCCAAATGAATATGTAGATTAATTATTTATATTGCTGCTGGTGGAAAAAGATATCAGACTGGACTAAGAGATGATATATTTATGTGCAGTGAATGAAGGTTCTGAGAACTCATATTTAGTATAAGATAGTTGGTGAAGGGATTATATTTATATATAACTGAGCAACAAATAAATAAAATAGTGTCCTATCTATCTGAATTGAACAGATTAGAGAGTTTCTATAAACTAATTTGTCTGATGGTCATATAAATGAAAGAGAATAAGTGCATGAAGATATCCTAATTAGAATTTGATTTTAAATTAATTTTGAATATATTGCACCATAAAATTTAATTGATTATTCATGTATTGTACTTATCTTATTATTGCATTTAGCTAAGCATACATTTAAAAATTTTAAAATATGAAGATTTAATTCAAATATTCTAAATAAATATTTATTTTTATACGGAGCTTGATGAGTAGTGGTTCTTATAGAATATCAGAAATGTTTAAAGGAGATCAAGTATTATTTCCGACAGGTCTCTCCAAATGACTCATTAATACAAGTATTTATTCCAAGGGGCACTCACCCTAATAGAGCTCGCTCTCCCATAGAAGTTATATACAATCAATGGCTCATGCATACTTATAAATATCTCAAGCTACACAAAACACACACACTTATAGAGCTTATTACCCCAACTTCACTAACTGAACTTGTTCTTGGCTTACATCCACTTCCACCCATGAGACTCGCCTATCATTACTTGGAACTAGTATTCATAGACTTGCCCTATATATCAATTATCATATACTCGTTCAAAACACTCGTCACTGAAGACTTATTGTGACTACTCGCCAAAGGACCACATTAGAGCCAGAAGGCTATAAGTACACCACCCAACTCAATTACATATCCGTGTTGGTATGTATTTATTACATAATGTATTATTTCTCACAACCTTTTATTAGTTCTCTTAATCCTATAAATAAGAGCTTAAGAGGTATATTTTGAATTTCATGATATCTGGACTATTCATAGAGATATTAGAGCTCTCAGTTGCTCTCTATACTCTCATTTTCTCACTTAATTCTCTAGCTTTATCCTACTAACGCCAATTAGTAGGGTTGAGTGTTGATCCAATAGACATGAAGAACTTTAATGTGAGGGAGAGGAGAGATTATTAGGTGCGGAGTGCGGACGGTGAGAACTGTTCGCACAAGTATTGGGCACCTAACGATACCCGCATTCGATACCGCTGGGTACCGCTAGGTATCCAGTGTTTGTACGAACGGTGCGCATTCTGCACCTAATAATTTTTCGAGGGAGAGACTATCAAGGCATAGGAATCTTTCTATTGTCTCATGTTATATCGTTGAAAAATATACTAGTATAAAACTATTAAATGATTAGCCCTCACCTATAAACTTATTATTTGATCGAAAATTAATTTGACCATTGCTGTATCTAACCCAACTCCACGTCTCCACCTATAGATTGCTAAATCACACTTCATGATAAAGATTGATAGTAACGAGACACAAATTTGAGATCCGAATTATTACGACAAATACGAAAATGGGTCAACATAACTAAAAAATTAAGGTCATTATACACTATTATTTGTCTATCCTCATCACTTGATTTGAAATTTAAGTTAAAAAATATTCTCATTATATGATTTGAAACTTTGAGTTAAAAATATCCATTATTAAAATGTGGCTTACTCATATATTGATGATCCCAACCTTGGCTACTTTTGGAAATTATTATGTGTGGTCATCGGATTGTCCGGAGGTGAATTAGGATGCGCTACATCACCCAGTACACAACACTGATACACAACAAAAAATGATTCGCTTCCGGATGTCGTCCGGAGACTGCACAGAATAATTTTATGACTGCTTGTCATAACAAGAGGCCCTTTAGAAGGTCATGATGATGTTTATGACAAATATTAGCTTTGAAGTGATGTTGCAATTGCTTTTTAACTACTAATTTGTATGTATTTATTTTTTAGGGATTTTGTTAAGCAACTGTTACCCTATTAATTTACTGTAAAATAATTGCAACAAATTCATGTTAAGAAAACAAATTAATATTTATAAATCTTTCATTGAAGTTTCCCTCCATCTATTTTATGATAACCCAATATGTGATTCTATGAGGCTAATGAGGTCATTAATCAAATAAGCTTACGAAAATTGTTAATTTTATGACCATTAATATTGTGGCATACAAATATTTGTCGAACAAGTTGATGTTAAATTTTAGATGTAAAAAATTTTGATGCCATTTATACAATAAATTATTATGTGTAGAATCTGAACGTAACTCTATTCGAATTCCAATAAAATCAAGTGATTTATACGCATAATATGTACAATTTTTACACATGATATATAGCCACATAATTTATTTTTGTTGGAGTCCATAATAATTTCTCCATTTACACAGCCTTATAAGAAAATTCTTAAACGGATTTTGCGGAAAAAAGAAAAAGAGATTAAGCGGAGAGTTTTACAAGAAATGAACTTTCGAGCAAACCACAGAGACTATTTGTAAATTCTTTTAAACCTTCTACAAGTAATTCATTCTTCAGTCGACGTCCTAAGGATTTGATGGTCGGTTCCCCCAACTCCAACTCCAACTCGACAACTGCAACGTTCTGGGTGCTTCAATACCAGTTCTATTTGTTCTGTAACTCTTTTTCTCTCTCTCCATGGAAGTACCAGTCGTATCCATCTCGGAGTCTGGATAGTGATTTTGGTAACATCGGTGAAGGATTCTACTCAGGTATTTCTTTTCATCTCGTTTTTGGCCAGTTTCCATCTCATTGTGCTTCGGGCTTTGGTTGTTCGATGAGTTCTATGCACTTATTCTTGTTTTTTTCCTGAAATTAATGATCGGATGTAAAAGCGTATGTGGATTTTTGATTAGTTAAGTTCAATTTATAATACCATGGCTCGTAATTCCACTGATGATTTCATGTGAGAAAAGTTATTGCAGATCGGCGGGGGTGGTGGCGGGGGACGGGGAGGAGGATTTGGATAATATGATGGATAAGTTAACTTGCATCATTTTAGGGTGACTTAGACATGGAAGATTCTTTTTTAAATGCGCGGAGATGGTTTTGGAAGGAAGACGGTGAAATTTGATAGTTTAGTAAAATAGGAGCCTTTGCTTGCTTTATTATGCTTTTGTTGAGGGGTGAAAATTGTTTTTAATTTTGCAAATATGTTGATGGGCTTGGTATGAATTTAGGGAAAGACGAACCTTACCTGACCAAAAAGTGATTTTTGTGAGAGGACAGCATCATTGGTACTAAGGGCCTGAATAATTTCGCAATCGTTGGTAAATAAGTCTCTTCAGGTAAAATCGTTGGTAAATAAGTCTCCCATATAAGATAATAGGAAAAAAAAAAAAAAAATTGTTGTGTTGAAATACTATATGGTTGGCCCTCACCCACAAGTTTAATCTTTTGGCTTGAAAAATAAGATTTAACCACTAGTATATTTAACCCAATTTTAAAAAATTAAAAAAAAAAAAAAAAACCCTGTTTTGTCCCCCCTTTATATCATTCACCAATAAAAAGTATCAGAGCTTGTGATTTTGCTGGGATTCAGTGATTCATGCCACTTATCACTTAAATACCTGTGGTTGTTTCTACAACTTTTAAGCAAACTTTAATAGAAGACAAAGTACATGGCTCTTTGGTTGTTTCTACCGTTTTTAAGCAAATTTAAGAGTAAGGCAAATCCCATGCATCTCTTGGTTCATGATATTCGCCGTTATCATATTCCAGCTCTGTTGATGTTCTTATGATTTCATATGTCCTATCATCACCTTTATTTGTGATGTTATTTACACAGTGCACTCACTTCATTAAATGCTACTTGCCATTTCCACTCTAATATTTTCAATAAGATACATTTTTTAGTTACCGGTACTTTGCGGAATGCGGATGTATCTGGAAAATGCAAGAATTATACAAATCATGAATATAACAAGTAGTTTGAAAGAAAATTCATTTGTGGTGGAATTCACAAAAATACTTTCAGGAGTAGTATGAGGCTCGAGCTTGTATTGTAAAAGCAGATAAATTGGAATGACATGCAAAGTAATGAATAGATGTATAATCTAAACTAGATTATCCATTGCAAGCTTTAAAAATATTTTCTCCCTTTCCACTCCCTATAGTTTTTCTTTTAAATGCAGAAGAAAAAATGCTATCACAATCCTGTTCAAGAATTAATAAAATTTGAATGGTTGGCTTGAAATTATTTTTTTACTATATTTTTTGTACAGAATTGCTCATTTAACTGTGCTTTCTGCCTATCTTGTTAACTATTATGCTATTAAGTTTTGTGTTTAAAATTATACCTTTCAACTTTCATCAATATATGCTTATATTTTCCCAGATCTTCACTTCTCATCAAAAGGATTAGCTTTTACTCGCACAATTTAACTTTTCTTGTTTTATTTGTTATGTACTCCATTATTTCCTTATTGATTGTAGCGCGCATTGTCCTAAAAAATTCAGATTTATGCCTTTATTTCATTGCAAGACTGAAGGACAGTGTTTTCTTATCTTTTTCTTTTTACCTTAGTTTATGAATAATTTTGTCAGGTCTAGAAAAGCTGGTCAAGACATGAGCCATGAGCAGGATGAAAGGTGATTCATGATTGTGTTCCTACTTTTACTAATACCTCCATAGAGTGATGCATTTTTCCCTGAAGTCAAAAAAATATTATTGGGATGCTTGTTGCACTGTGCATATTTATGAATTTTGTTGGCAGGAACTCTTTTATGTTTGTCTGAGATGCTGGTATCATTTTTCGATTAGGTATGGTGAGCAGGCTTTTCCAAACGGGGACATCTATATTGGATACTTAGATGGTCCACTTCCTCATGGGCATGGAAAATATACATGGTCAGACGGAGCAACATATGAAGGTGAATGGGAGAATGGAAAGATAGCAGGAAAAGGATGGATCTTTTGGCCATCAGGGTCTATATATGAAGGCGAGTTCTGTGGAGGCTTCCTTCATGGTTGTGGCACCTTTTCCAGTATAGATGGCTCTGTTTATAAAGGATCGTGGAGGTTGAATACACAACATGGTCTAGGAACAAAGAGTTATCCTAATTCAGATATTTATGAGGGTTTGTGGAGAGAAGGACAACAAGAAGGAATTGGCAAATATACATGGTGTAATGGAAATATGTATGTCGGGAATTGGAAGGCAGGAAGAATGAGTGGCAGAGGAGTTTTGAAGTGGGCAAATGGTGACTTGTTCAATGGCCATTGGTTGGATGGATTGGAACATGGCACAGGTTATTACTACTTTGCAGATGGGTCATGTTATCTTGGTACCTGGAGCAAGGGGCTGAAGGATGGACGGGGAACATATTATCCTACTGGAAGCAGACTTCCGTTTCAGCAGAAGTGTTACAGGTCTAATCTATGTAATAAGTGGGCAAGATATCTTTGTCCTCCTGCCTTAATGAAATCAGAAAATGACAAAAATGAGTTAACTTCAATAAAAAGTGACTATACTGGCCATAAAATAAGCAGTTTGTTCGGGCATTCTGGAAGAATATCTAACAGACCTACAGCATTTGATCGTTATAGTGATTTTGGAGTTTCTTTTGGAAGCATTCCATTTAGAGACAACTGTGTTAGACTACCCTGTGAATCACTTGAAGATGAAAATAAACTTCAAAATGATGTCAATATTGTTTATGAGAGGGAATATATGCAAGGGGTCTTAAAAATGGAGAGGATAGTAAATCAACAATTGTTGAAACCTGAACGAAATCAAAGGCTCCACGGAATTCAAAAGAAGCCTTTAGGGGTCCGTGGTGAAACGATTTACAAAGGTCACAAGAGTTACTTTCTGATGTTGAACTTACAACTTGGGATTAGGTATGTTGTCACTAAATTTTGGATCTAGAGTTGATGATGGAGTTTCGTTATAACTCCTTTCGTAATGACCTGGATTCTTGTTGCTTGACTAAAGTGAGGTTTTTACTTTTTTTGTCATTTTGATTTATAAACCTTCTAAATTTTCCTTCCATTATCCAACTGTAACATGAAATAGATTTTTTGGGATAACAAGCAACTGTCATTTTTGGGCATTTTGGCTTCCAGTGCCAAAAAGGTTTAAACCTTTATGTTAAGCTGGAGCAAAAGACCCAACAAACTTTACATTCATGCTTGGGTGTAAGCTGGTTCCTAGTAAAGCCGAATAAAAAATTCTTCTATGCAATGTATCTTTTATCAGGAAGGACTTGAAACAAATTATTGCTTCCATCATTGTATCATAACGCCTTATATCATTTTCATAGTTAAATGCTTAAACTGTTGAGAATAATTCATTCGAGTCTTGTTTTAAAGCTGACAGGTATACAGTTGGAAAAATTACACCTGTACCAGTTCGTGAAGTTCGTTCCTCTGATTTTGGACCATGTGCAAGGATAAAAATGTATTTCCCCCGAAAAGGGTCGCAGTTTACACCTCCACACTACTCTATTGATTTCCATTGGAAGGATTACTGTCCAATGGTATTTAGGTACTTACTGTTTATTTATTCTCAATTATGTTAATGTGGTCATATTGTTGAAAATAAGCAAAGTTTTGGAGAAAGTAATATGCGAATCAATATTCCTTAATATTTAAAATGCTTTGAATTGACTTCTAAATTATACTGCAAATAATTGGGTAAGGACCAAGATTAAGGTTCTGTTTGGGAATTTCTATAAGGCTATTCCTAGTTAATTAGGCCTTGTATAACTCTGATACCAGTCTGCCGGCTTGCTAACAAAATATCTTATACATTTTATTCTTCAAGTGCTAAGAGTAGCTTACATGTATCAAAGCAACATATTATCTTTGTAAACTTGATAATATAGAAATATCTCAAAATAGTTCTTAGACTATTTGTATGGGGCTAATTTAGTCCCATAGTATCATATTGCTTCAATTTATTTCTTTGAACATACAAAATTGATAAAAAATGGTCCCTTATGTTGTAATTGTGGTATTAAATTGATCTCAATTTAATTCATCGATTATACAAAACTAATCCTGATTTAGTTCCAAAGGAATAATTTTGGATTAATTTTGTATAGTCGAGAAACTTAATTAGAGCAACGTGGTACTCTGAGACTAAATTGGCCAATATGAATAGTAGGAAATTTAAATTGGAGCAACGCGATACTCAAGAATAAATTGGCCAATGTGAATAGTTAGGGGATTATTTTAAAGTTTACCCGTTTCATAATGTTGTGGGGTGGAAGTAAACACGTAACAAAATAAACAAGAAAAAATAGAAATGCAGTGGAAAGTAAAGAACATCAAAATTTAACGTGAAAAACTCAAAACTGAGAAATAACCACGGAGTCAGATCACTCCAAGAAATCCACTATGAAAATTGGGAGAAATTTGTACTGTTCTCTTTTCTCTTTTGCTCTCCTTCTCTTCTTTGTTACATCGTTCTTTTCAAGGGGAGCCACCCTTAAGAAAAACGAGAAAGAAAAACTGACCAGCCGACCTCGCTGCATTGTCGTGCCAGTTTGGAGTGCCGTGTTGCTCAACGCTCTTCTTAAGTCAGCATGACATCGTTGCAGCGCCACATCTTGAGTGCTGTAGCACTCTGCTATCTGTGAGTCGTATGGAGAAAAAAAAAACTCGAATCCAAGAAGGGGGAGGATCCCCGCACTCCCCTAGCGAGCACAACAAACTAAGTTGAGGTTCATGGCAATGTAGTGCAACCCGAGACACAATCAAATTCCACATAGATTAACATATATATCTTTTAGTCCTGCCTTTTTCCTAAAAAATTGTGCATTTGAAACCTTGTACATTTTCCTCAAAGATTGACAGTCTTTCGTTGTTATAATATTGTTGTTTATGATTTCCCAACTGAAACCAAACTTCACGCTCCTTTTTGTGGAGAAATTTAAGGTTGATCAAGCTTGAGTTAGCTCATTTATGAGCGTAGTATCAACCTGCATTTATTTTCAGAATACTTTCCTGAGCATAATATCAATTTTACCGTTCCTTGAATTACTAAAACTTTCTTCTATTTGTTAGTAGACATGAGTAGCAAGAGATGGATGAATTTCTTTTTTATCGTTCTTTATTTGAATTTTAAAAAACGTGCTTGATCCTTTTTATTTATTTATTTTAATATTATGATTGTGATATATTGCAGGAATCTACGTGAAATGTTTAAGATAGATGCTGCTGACTATATGGTCTCTGTATGCGGAGGCGATGGTCTAAAGGAGCTTTCTTCACCAGGAAAAAGTGGGAGCATATTTTATCTTTCTCAGGACGAAAGATTTGTCATAAAGACTCTTAGGAAAACTGAACTAAAGGTTTGAATTTCTAGAAATATCTTTTTTATATTGCAAGCTTAGCACCATCTCTGGTCTGTCATTTTATTGTTTTATTTCATCACTAGCTGCTTGTGAACTGTATATATATGCATTTCAATTCGCTTCTCAACCACCTAATTTTCCTCCATCCACTTGAAAACAAGCTGAAAGATATGATTCTTCAATAAAATTGTAGTCATACTTTGTCTAACCTTCTGTGCCCACGCCCTACTCAATGCTCCAACCCTCAGTCCTCTCTGTTTTTTTCCTTGTAAAGAAATTTTTTTATTACAAGGAAAAATAAAAAGAATGGTGCTATATTTACCATGACTGTTGTTAGATTACTTTCACATGGGAAGATCTATGTCAAGTGCGCCCTCAAAAAAAAAAAAAAAAAAAAAAAAAAAAAAAAAAAAAAAAAAAAAAAAAACTATGTCTACGTGATATAAGTACTTCCTTGGTCAGTTGTTAGGGCTTATTATTATCAGTATACTTATCATGTCTAACATGCCCTTCCTTTCTTGGATTGTTGTTTTTTAATGCTAGCAATTGTGTATTCTATTGCATCACCTTGCCTTATTTTGAAAATGAATGTCATGGATTTGGATTATAAGAGATTAGCACCAATTTGAATGTGTCCTTAATACATAATAAACTCCTAGCTGCGCTTATGAGCGTTTTTTCTTTATAAATTATCAGGAAGACCACAAGAAAATCATTTACCTTGGGAGTTTGAGCTTGTGGTTTTATGAAATTGGAATTTGAGGTGCCACTTTGCAACATACATGAAAAATATCCTTTAACAACCCATCATCAAATTTGGTGTAGTTCAAACCATTGAGTGATGTAGGATATTTAAGGGTTTAGATTTTTAATATATATATAACATACAATGTAGATTTAAATTTTATAAATAAATGCAATAAACATACAATTGGTAATCAATATAAGATATTGTCCAGGAAGAATTGGAGGACATTATGAGCTTTAATCTCTTGCAATGGGACGACTTCAGCCCATTTAATAAATATATTATTTCTATATGTTGAGACTATGTTGGTGATAGGAAGTGCTTGTATTCACAAGCAATCCTAACCCAAATCAAGTATCAAATAAAGAAAAACTGCTGTCCACAGCAGGAAAACAGCCCAAACCAGAGAAAATCTGAGAGAAAACGTGGGAGAAACGTAGGAAAAATAATTGCAAACACTTTTATTTCAATAGAGGATTAAAAGCACTTGCAAGATACAACTTTCCTTCAATTCGAGAGGAAGGAAGAACTCTCCAACGATCTCCGGCAAAGCCAAGAGCCCAAGACAAAAACTAGATCTCAAAGGGAAAACTCCAATTCAAGATAACCTAACCTCCCCCCAAACTCCTCCTTATATAAAATTCATCATAAAGGACCATTACAAACTTCCTAAAAGAGCCTTACACGTTCAAATTTTCCCTCCTAAAACCCCCCCTCACGTGCTCACGCGGATTCGCGGCTTCCGCCCGTCTCTCGCGTCCGCCTCGCGTAGCAGCGGACCGGTCCCTGTTGGACCGGTCCAGCCGGCCCAGGATGGGCCGGTCTAACATTACCGCCCTCCCAAAGAATCACCTTGTCCTCAAGGTGAAAATCAGGGAATTGCTGCTTCATCCTCCCATATGGCTCCCACGTAGCCTCGTAGTCAGGAAGATTCTTCCACTGGATCAATACTTCCTTAGTATTATCTTTTTTCTGGCGCACAC